ATGGCTGAGTTTTTGAAACTCTGATTTAGAAGGGAAAGCTGGGATTGACACAGCAATTACAACACTCTGATAACAGCTGTGATTGGAGGAGGACGCGGCAGGAGGAGCCACACTGTGGGAGTCCAACATACAAAAGCACCTGATCAAGAGCAGGGCAGTCAGGGTAGCCTTCCTGGAAGAGATGACTCCTCAACTGAAACCTGCAAGGGGACTAGCAGGTATCCTGGGAATCCTCCTAGTGACTGGTGTGTGGATACAGAAGGGGCCCTTGTGAGCACTGATGGCGGGGGTGCGGGGGTTGCTGACTAGTCCAGGGCTGTACTGCTGGGGGCAGGTGCTCCCTCAGTCAGCTTAGTCTTTTGGGGCAAGAAGGAGAAGCAAGGCGGACCTCCCCCTAGTTACTTCTTGAATTACAGTCTGTCTCCCCAGCTATAGTGTGAGTTGTCTGGGCAGAGACGGCTCCCTCCACCTGAGGCGACCGCGGAGCTGAGGGCCCATTTGCTGAAAGTCTAGAATGGATGGAGGGATCATCTGACACAGTTAGGCACCAGCAGGCGTTCAGTAGATAGGAGTCCCCCTACCCTCCTCCCCCTCGGGAAAGCGCCCAGCCTGGGACTGGGTCTTTGGGCTTCTCCCCCAGTGCTCTCCCCTGGACCTGCCTGCAGGTACCCAGGGGCAGGGCACGTCCCCAGGGGATCTGGACGGTGTTGGACTTGCAGATCCGCCTCCAGGGGCCCTGGGCAGGGCAGGGCAGCCCCCTCTGGCCCGCAGCGCCCCAAAAGCCACCCTTGCGGCACACCCTCTGCGAGGGGGGACCCCAAAGCACCATCAATTTGTACCGTGGAATGACAGGGACCTCCCTCCCGGCCCTTCCCCCTCTCCACTCCCCCCAGAGGCCTTTATCCGAGACTGGATTTGGAATCTTCTGTCCCAGGAGGGGGCGGGCCTGGCCTTGCTGAAGGTCGGTGGTCCCCTGCGCCGCCCGCCAGCTGTCCAGGCCCCACCCGAGCCGCCCGGCGCACTCACCTCTCTCGGGTCCCAGTGCCGGAGGCCAGGCCGCGGCTCCGTCCGGCCCGGCTGAGCCCGACGCCGGCGGACGGGAGGGAAGGACGGCGGAGCGGCGGCGGCAGGGACCAGGGACCGGCGGGGGCGTGGCGCGCTCGGCCTGCGCGCCGGCTCCGGCTCCAGCTCGCCCCCCCGCCGCGCCGCCACCTGGAGACGGAGGAAGGGGCGGAGGCTCGCGGCGGACCCGCCGCAGCGGGAGCAAGGCGGCCTCAGCGGCCTGGGCGGGGTGCGGCTTCCAGAAGGGCTCCTAAGGGCCATTGCTCTCCCGTGGGGAACACGGAGGGGCCCGGAGGCTTCTTCTCCACCTGCTTATTTGGGGTCTCTTGCGGGGAGGGGAGGTGGGGAAGCAGGTGGCCGGTTTGCCACGTGACTCGGTGAATTTGACCTCAGTGGGCTGGACCCAAAAGGCAGAGCTTGGAAAGGGGAGAACATTTCTGAGTCCTGCCATGACCCCCACCTCTTCCCGGGCCTGCCAGGACCTCCCTTCCCTTCCCTTCCCGCACCCCCCCCCCCCCCCCCCCCCCCAGACCCCCCCCCCCCCCGCCCCTCCAGGCTCCTGCCTGACTTCATGTTGTCCACCCTGCCCTGCGGAGACCTCTGCCCCTGTTACAGAGGGAGAGGTTCCCCTGGCTCTCGGGTCTATCAGCCGCCCCGGGCCCACTCCTGCTCTACTCGGTGGAGAAGGGCGAACAGGGAAAATGGAAGGAGCGAGAAGCCTGGGGAAGAGTTTCCAGCCTCCAGACTCAGCCCAAGTGGCCTCTGTGTGCCCTGTGCCGAAGAACAGGGTTTGCGCACGGCAGCATCCGCTAGGCTGGCCAGCTCTGCAAACCAGCTGCACTTCTCTTTCACGTTCCTCCTCCTTGGCCCCTTCTTCCCAGTTTTCTGTCTCTTCCTTTACGGCCCATCCCTAAAAGGTGGCGCTCCCAGCGGTGCGCTGGAGCCGGCCTGCCCTGGCTTGTGAGAGCAGATTAGTGAATTTCCCGGAATTTTGCAAGTCAGTTGTTAAACACAGCTGTCATTAAAGATGAATTTATGTAAACGTACGAATAATTCATATTAAAAACAATGGTAAACACTCAAAATGTGCCACTTCCTATTACTTTACTGTTACCTGTGCTCTTGAGGTTATTTACACCTGTTGCATCTGTATGGAAGCAATATTATATGACAGGGTACACTGCACATCTCTTTCCACCTCTGTGGTTAGGGACACTGTGGCGGCAGCTTGAACTCGACCATGGTGAGAGTGTTTATGCCACAGAAATTGGCAAGTGTTACCAGTTAGGGCTTGATTTATGTCTTCTGCAGTCTGTAGAGTCTCTTGACTTAATTAAGAAAGTGATGGGGGCTTCCCTGGGGGCGCAGTGGTTGAGAGTCCGCCTGCCGATGCAGGGGACACGGGTTTGTGCCCCGGTATGGGAAGATCTCACATACCGCGGAGTGGCTGGGCCCGTGGGCCATGGCCGCTGAGCCTGCGCGTCTGGAGCCTGTGCTCCGCAACGGGAGAGGCCACAAGAGTGAGAGGCCCGCATACCGCAAAAAAAAAAAAAAAAAAAAAAGAAAGTGATGGGGAAAATGTGAATAGTACAGATTAAACTTAAAAGTGTGTCTTCGGTGAATATTCCAGCCTGTAAACTATATGTTTAGTTTAAAAAAGAAAGTGTGCTGTGTCTCTAAGCCATTACAATGTGAACAGCACAAAAAACTGAGGAAATTTGGCCAACAATCAGAAACTGCTACCTGACTGAGCAGTCACTCACATCATCAACAGATGAGTGAAGTTCTGATACACATCTCTGGCTTGTTTCAGTTTCATCTTACTTGCTAACATAAAAAAAAAATCAACCAACATTCACACTGGAACTACACTCGTTCGTCAGTTGCAAGAATAGGTTGGCTATAAATACACAAGTTTGGCAAAAATCAGTGAGAGCATTCTAAGAGAATCAATCGGCTGTATGGATTTTACAACAAAAAGTATTATATATTCTGTGTCATGATCTTTTACATCCGTAAATACGTGTGTGTGTGTGTGTGTGTGTGTGTGTGTGTGTGTGTGTGTATTCCCTCCCCCAGGGTGGTTGATAAACATTTTGGCTGGATGTTTAATGTTGACTGGTGCCTCGTAAGGTTTGTCCTATGCGTTCTAATTTTCTCGCTTTCATGTTCTCTGCAGGGTGAGCCCCTCTTGTCTCACAGATGATCCCAAATCTCCCTGCAGGCAGAACTCACTGCTGAGCTGTGGGCACGAATATCCAGTGGCCAGCTGGGTATTTCCCAGACACTGGGCATGTGTCTCCCAGGCCAGTGCAGAGAAGGTGGGGCCTGGGAGCTCAGGAGGGCCATGATCTGGGCTGCCCGCCTCAGTAACAGGACCCTGGGGTACTGCCCGGGACCATTGCCTGGGGTTGGCTGTGTAGGCGAGTGAGGTGTCAGAATTGGAGCTGATGGAGTGATGGATAGGGCATGGGGAGGAGGGTGGGGGACGTCAAACACTATCTCGGGGGACGAGAGGGGGGGGAGGACGGGGAACTGCATGTTGAGAACCTTGCATTGGTGGTGTCTCGGGACATCCAAGCTGGAACCAGATCTGGAGGTTCCGGGGAGAGGTTGGGGTTGGAGATAACATCTGGAGCCTCTGGGAGCAGATTGTAATGAAAGTTGTTGGATGTGTATGAGCTTGTCTGGGGCAGAGAAGGGAGTGATAAGAGGTCTGGGTGTGCCTTGAGGTGAGCCAAAGGACCAAGCCACAAAGGGATGGGTGTGGCAGGTGTGGAGGTCACCTGGGTGAACCTCCTGAGGTACCGTGAGGGCTGAGCTGTCTGAGGCAGGCAAACTGGTTGGCAGGCTACTACCAAAACCCAGGGTCAAGGGTATGTGTGTGACCTAGGATGAGAAAGGCTGGCTAAGACAAGGGGGGCCAGATTCCAGACACCTTCTCAGGTCCAGGATGTGACCTATAAAACGTGGGATGTGAAGAGAGGAGGGATGAGGCCCGCATCACAGGCATCTGTGATTGTGCGACGGCTGGTGTCGCTGGAGAAGCCAGGGAGAGGAGTTGAGGAAGCCTGTCGTCCAGGCAGGGGCTCTGAGAGGCAGTCGGTACTCCGGGAGCAGGGTGGGACCAGCTCCGGGGGGGTGCAAGGAGGGAGAGGTCTCGAAGGCGCAACCTAGGACTTGGCCAACAGGACGCTTCCAATGACTGTCTGTGGGAGGAATGAGTGAATGAACGAGGGGCCGGCAAGTCTGAGGGCTTTAGAGCCATCCCACAAGGGGGAGAATCACGAGGCAGAGACTGGGAGTTCCCAGGGGAGACTGGCCAGGGGTCAAATGCTGCAAAGGCCACAGGGAATGAAGCCTGCAAGGTGGCTGCCGTTCATATGCTGCAGGATCTCTGCTGAGTGGTGAGACACCCAGATGGCAGAGGCTCGGGAAAGAACGGGTGAGGAGACAAGAGGAGACCCTCTCGAAAAAGTCTGGTGAGAAAGCAAAGGAGACGCTGAGGCAGCAGCTGGACAGAAATCTACTAGAAGAAAGATTTCGACATGTGTGGGTATTTATATGCCTGCCTTCCCTCCTCCTTCCCTCCCTCCATCTGACTTAAGCCTCCAATCTGAGGCCCCCGAGGCCTGAATTCCAGGTCTGGCACGTCCTAGTAGAGTAGCCTTGGGAAAATCCAGCGGACTACTTTAAGCTGAGCTCCTGCCATGACACAAATCCCATAGCAAAACAGGATTCAATTTACACTAGGTTAAAATAAATTCAAGTCTGGAAAAAAGCTGCTGTAAAGAGAAACACCTTGCCCTCCACAGTCTCTGATGACCTAGCGGCCAAGGGAGCTGTGGATTCCAGGGACTGGTGCTAAGGCAGGGACCCTGAGCCCCCAGAGCCCAGTCAATGCTGCTGTAATGTGCAGTGAGGAAACTAGGACTCAGTACTGTTCCATGTCCTTTTATTACAATTGTCCTTGTGTTCCAGAATGAATGGCTATTTAACACACAACCCGAAGCACTCCTAAATTTGATCTTAGCTTCCCATTTCTTTCTTATATTGAATCAAAGGGAAAAAAAAATCTTACAAAAAAAAAAAATCACCAGGTTTAGTGCATCCCTGGAAGAGCACCTTTACTAAACAGGAAACAAAACGTGCCAGGAATCTGACCAAATACACAAAGCAGCAGGTGAGATTCCTGATAGGAAAGAATGACTCCCCATGGAACATAAATAGATCCCCTCAAAGTACATATATTTCACATGAGTGTGTACATACATATGTAATATATTAAAAGAAATTTGGTTTCTACCACGAGAAGTTACTCAGCAATAATAAATCAACATCTCACCTGAGACAGGGAAGTGGGGACACTGCAGCCACGTTATAAACCGAGGCGCACCTCACTCCTGTACACGCCTCCCCTCTGTATGCTGTGCACACTTGCTGGGTGGGCTTCTCTCTGCCCGGCCCCCCAGGCCCAGCAGATCCAGTGTTTGTAGAAAAGCGAGTCAGGGAAGGCAGGTGGCCCTGTGGCCTCGGAGCCCACCCTGCAGGGCCCGGGAGCTGGCTGCAGCGGGGAGGTAAACACCCGAGGCTACCGCCGCCTGCCTGGAAGGCCGCTTTGGCTCTGGGGTGAAGGGAAGCGCTTGGGACCCCAGCAATGGCACTGCAGTGCGTCTGGTTTTCAACAGCGAGCCTGCCTCTGGGGTCCACCCAAGGGCCTCCAGATCTTTGTAGTTTGGCCAGTGGGGGCTTCCCCTAGGATCAAATGGCTTTTGGGAGAGGAGTAGAGTTTCCAGAGCCACCAGGGCTCAGTCCTGTGAGTATGTGCGTGCGCACACGCCCACATACACACGCACTCCAGTGGAGGTCAGCAAGTTGCAAACGAGTGTTCTACAGGGGCGCGCTCAAATAGTGTCTGCTTTGGGGTCAGTTTGTCACTGCGTTCTGAGTGTCCCCATGCCAAAGTGGATTTGTTCAAAAGATACCCGTTGCTGCAGGCTACAGGTACAGAAGACACGTTACACACCGGGGGGAGGGTGCAACCCTCTCAGGGCTTGGCACGGTGTTTTAGTAACAAAACAAACAGAAGAAACGCACGGGAACCCCTTTCCTCATCGTAAAGCCCTTTCCTGGCACCACAGGCAGACGGGGAAAGGCCATCATGATGAGCAGGTGCGTCAGTAGCTTTAAGGTTTAGGAGCTGCCGGTCCAGGAGCCAAGTCACACGCAGCCGTACTCGTACCACACGGTCTGCTGGTCCCCAGCCGGCTCGGGGGATGCCGGCGTGCTCTTCGAGCTGCTCCCACGACTGAAGTCCTCGGAGGCCCGGCTGCCATGGGGAGCCAGGTCGGGAGACCTGCCTGGGCCCTTGGCAGGGAGGCCCTCGCTGTAGCCCTGCCCCGGGACCCCGTCCCCCTCGGAGGGGCTGAACCCCGCCCGGACGGGGGCGATGGTGGCCGCCTCTCCCGAGTGCGGGGAGGCTTGGGGCTTAGTCCTGGCAGCCGGGGCTGCAGCAGGTGAGCAGTGCTGTAGCTGGGAGTTGCTGCCACTGCCACCTCCAGCGGCGATGGCTGGGGACGTGGCGGACTGCTGCAGGGGAGCTGGCCTCTCCTCCTTCGGGGGAGCCAGAGAGAAGCGCCTCGCGTCCAGTGGCCGGCTTCGGGGGCCAGGGCCCTGACAGGAGCCGCCAGCCTTTCCCACAAGCGGGGTCCGCTCCCGGGCCAGGCTGTGGGAGCTGGGAGGTGTGGAGCCCTGCAGGCTGTGGCTGCCTGTGTCTCTGCCCGCCGAGGCCTCGGGAGCCCCTGGCTCCTGTTTGCAGGCCTCTGGCCCGCTGGCCCGGAGGAGGTCGGCGGAGGCCAGGCTGAAGGCCCGGCTCAGGGATGCACTCCGGCCAGTGGGCGTGTGGGAAGCGGGGGGCATCGCGGCCTGCCGGAGTCTGCCCAGGGACAGGCTCTGGGGCAGCTGGGCCTGCCTCTGGGGGGCACTGGGCAGGGCCTCGGCCTCAGCGGGTCTGAAGTTCGGCTTCACGTACTGCCCGGGCTTCAGCGGCTTCCCCTCGGAGGTGGTGACGGGCATCTTGATGGTGGGGGCCACGAAGCTGGTGGGCATCTTGGCCCCTTCTTTCCTGGTAGGTGGGCCTGGCTGGCCTCCGATGGCCGGGAGATCACTGGCCTTTCTAAAATAGTCACTTAGCAGGTCATCCCGGCAACTGGGAGCATCCTACAGGGAAGAGAGCAAGAACTGAGTGAGGGCCAGAGAGGCCTTGGAGACCCCTCCTCCCACCCAGGATGTCCCCTGTGCCACCCACATGGCCAGGACTGAAGTTTCCCGCTCGGCCTGTTGAAGGCCTAACTTCCCCACCATACACACTGCTCTGGTCAGGGGTTGGGACAATACATGGCTCGTCAGGGAGAGGACCCAGATGCCACTCAGTAGCCCCCTAACTCTTTTCTTTCTTTTTTTTGGCTGCGCTTTGTGGCACGTGGGATCTTGGTTCTCCGACCAGGGATCGAACCTGTGCCCCCTGCAGTGGAAGCGCAGACTCCTAACCACTGGACCGCCTGGGAATTCCCAAGTAGCCCCTTAACTTTACAAGTAAGAAAGCAGGTCCAGAGAGGAAATGACTTCCCACAAGGCTCATCCACTTTATGGAAGGGTCAGGCCAACTGTTTCAACTTGGTTCCCATTTCTTCACCAAGCAGAGCAAGGGGCAGAAAGCTGACCGGCAGGACCGGACCTTCTTTGTCAGCCCACCAGGGTCAGACGCACTGCAAGGGCTTTACTGTGGGCCGCAGAGAGGAAGAGAAACAAGACCAGCTCCCAAAAAGCCAGAATCAACCACACTCAGGACCCTCACTGCCTCCCAGATGTTTCTCCTAATGTGAGAAGTAAGGGGGAAAGGAGGCACAAGGGGCAGGGGGAGGGCGGTGGTAACCAGAAAGGTCGACCGTCCAGGAGAAGAGGGAGGTGGCCCAGCCCTCTAGACTGTCTCCCTCAAGCAGCTGCCACCTGGCTGGGCTTCCCCTGGCCAGGGAACTGGTGTCGTTTGCCACCATCGTGGGGACAGGAAGAGCCGCCAGGGGCCAAGCTCGATGGCCGTGTTCAGGCTCACTTCAGCCTTCTGCCAACACCTCACAGCCTAGAGGAGGCAAGCGGAGGGTTCTCCTGAGGCCGACGCTGCAAAACGCGGGGAATTGAGTCCGCATCAGCGATGAGATCGGGGGCCGAGAGCTGCTGCAACGAGACCCAGCCCGCTGTGACCTGTCAGGGGGCATTAGTCCGCAGGACAGGTCAGCAGCTCAGGAGCCACTTGCCGACAACTCCTGGCCCCTGACAACATCTGGATGCTCAACTTGACAGGGGTGCAGTCTTGTGGTTTCAGGATAGTTTGAAGCCTCACTCTTGGCATGTGTGTGCAGTAAGACCCTGGGTCATCAATATGGACCAGAACCATTTATCAAGTGCTTCCCGCAGGCCAGGTGCTGTGCTAGGAACCAGGGGTATAATCGCAAAAAACTTAGTTTAATTTTGAAAGCAACCCTTGTAAGGGTTGCTTAAGGTTGTATTAAAATAATATTTAATATATAAGAAAACTGAGGTCATAGATAGACATCTAGAGAGTGGCAGATTGGGGATTAGAACCCGTGGCTGTCAGACTCTGCAGCTGTTTTCAGCACCTCCTGGTCCCTTTCTGCACACTTCTAACTTCTTTAACCCCCACCTTCAGGGCCACCCAGGGAGCCCATCTTGTGACACCCCCTCCCCCCAGCATCATCAGTGCTTGGGGAAGGGGGGCATGGGTGGCTTCTCCAGGCCTGCTCAGAGGAGGGTAGGGGTGCCAGGTGGGGCCATGGGGGTGAGCACCTGGGCAGAGGGGGAGAGGACGGGTGGCTCTCAGAGGGTGAGCATCAGCTTCCAGCAGGGACAGATAAGCAGCGGTGAGTATCTGGGCAGGTCTGAGCTGAGTGCGGAGGGGCCCTGAGCCTTGCTTAGGACCCACCCCCTGAGATCTGCCCAGAGAAAGGAAACTCACGGGGACCGGCACATAATCAGAAAAGGACTAAGAAGAGGAACCATCCAGTTGCAGGCACCCCTGATTTCTGGACGTTCTTGTTTATTCCACTAGATCAGTGATTCTCAGTGCGTGATGCCTGGACCCACGCTGACAGTGAGAGCGTCGTCTGGGAACTTCACAGAGATGCAAAATCTCAGGAACTCTGGGGTCCAGCTTGTGTTCTGCCAAGCAAGTCCGATGCACACTGGAGTTTAAGACCCACTGCATCAGACCGTAAACTTCTGGAGGGCAGGTTTTCTGTCTTTCCCACTTTGGGTTCTCCAGCTTCTAACACACAGTAAGTGCCTGATACACAGACAACCACAAGACCGAGCACCTAGCAAGTATGCGACAGAAATTTGCCCATTAACTGGTTTGCTTTTTTAGCGCAGGCACCATGCATACGTCCTCACACACGGGAGCTGCTCAATAAATACCTCCCAAACAAATATTTTGTGTTCTGTGTCACTGTGACCCATTAATGTGGGCCACAGAGTTTACTATAGGGCTAGAGAAAGTTCGACTGTATTTGTTTAAGGTAAATGAGAGAGAATCACTGAAGCATTAAACCTTAAAAGGTCTCAAGTGCAAGACAGTATATGTGTCATCTGTTGAATAACCCAATAGCTCATGGGACTGAATTTAGACAGAGTATGTAAAAGACAGACATGCAGCTTCAGAAAAGCTAAATGGAGACGCTGGAAAGGTGACAGCAGAGGGAATCCTAATACAGGTGATGTTTGGGGGTTAGAGCTGCAGAGCAGAGGTCAGCAAACCGGAGCCCCGGGCCAGGTCCAGCTTGCTGTCCATTTATGTATGGCCTGCGAGCTAAGAATCGTTTTTACATTTTTAAATGATTGAAAAAAATTTTTTTTTATAGAACGGTCTTTTGGGACATGTGAAAATGATATGAAATTCAAATGTCAATGTCCATAAGTAAAGTTTTACTGGAACGCGGCCACGCCCACTCATCGACAGACGGTCTGTGGCTGCTTCCCGCTAAAGCGGCAGCGTCGAGTAGTTGCAGCAGAGACCGTCTGGACTGGAAAGCCTAAAATATTTACTATCTGGCCCTTTATAGAAAAAACTGGTTGATCTCTGCTGGTGAAGGCTCAGGGGAAGTGGGCATTCCGAGCTCTGGCACAAAACCTAGTGAGATGCTAACTCCGTGAGTGGGGGGCCGGTCACTCTTTTCTTGAGAAGCTCCCAGCGGGGGGCGCACAGCACCCCTGCCCTCCATGCCGGCACCACGTTCTGCCCACTCACTTCACAGACGGAGAAACAGCCTCCGAGGTCTGGGGCTGGCTGCTGGCACCCAGGGATCTGCTGGCTCGCGGGTTTGCTCCCCACCCAAGCAGCCCTGCACCTAGGCCACGCACCCCGCCCCATCCCTTTCTGTGACTTTGCTGCCACGGTTTCTGCCTACTGTCCCAGTTTGGGAGATAGCAAAGGAAGAGGGATTCACTGTGTCCCTTTGAGCCCTGGGCCACTCACGGAGGAAGGGGAGCCCCGGTTGCTCTCCTCCAGGAACTCCTCCAGGGTGACCATCTCACTGCTCGGGGAGGCTGAGCAGGGCCGCACCCCGCCATGGGGCTGGGCTGCGCCCCTCTTCCGGGCGCCCTCTTGGGGGAGAGGCCCGTTCCGGGGTGGGGGGTACTCATGGCGGCTGAGGGCAGTGCGCCCCGGGGTGCTGGCATCCCGCGGCAGAGTGGCTGTGTCCCTACTGGGGATCAGGTCTTCGCTGCTGAAGCTCTCGGACCTGCCGTGGAGCTGGTCGGAGGAACCTGGGGTCGGGGCGGGCGACACAGAGAACACACGTGAGTCCCCCTCTCTGTCTCCAGGGGGCTCTCTGCTGCCCCCAGCTCACTTAAGACAGAGAGGATGCTGCCTGAGAACCCAAGGCGCACTTCTCCCAGGCTGGGATTTTGGATGTTAAGAACACTCTGGAATGCTTAGAATTCAGAACAAAGTAACTTGAGATAAAAGTGGAAAAGCTTCTGCTGAAGTTTCCATTGTTAGGAGCTATACGGCACCACACTCATTAGCTCCTGTCTGTTCACATAGTTAAAGGTTTACTTAGCACCTGCTTCGTGCCAGGTGTTCTTTAGAGGCTGGTCATGTGGACTCTGAGAAGTGAAAAGATTTGCGTAAGGGTTTACGGTCTTGGGACAGCAAACACATTCTTTTCAGATGTGCAGGAAACATTCATTAAGACAGACCGTATTCTGCACCGTAAAATAAACTTAAAAGGAATCAAAGCCATCCACTATGTCCTCTGACCACAGTGGAATGCAACTAGCGTCACTCTCTCCATTCTACAGATGAAGTAACTCAGATTCAGAGGATGGGTGACTCTCCCAGGTGCCCAGAGCCTGTCAGAAGGGGTGAAGGGATTTGAACCCCAATCCATCCAAACCCCGGGCCTTCACTTGCAACCGCGTGACGTGGCCTAGGAATGCAAACGCAGAACTCGTGGAGGATCTCGGGAACTGCCTTTTTAAAATTACAAGTATACTATAAGCCCAGAGTCAGAGATCCACATACACTGCAAAGTGCCCAGAAGGAAAGGCCGGCTCACCTTTCAGGTTAAGAGGTGAGCTGTCGCTGGACGCATTTCTACTGCTCTCCAAGCTCCCCGGCCGGGACGCTGAAAGGAAACGCCAACATATAACCTAAAGGCCGATGGTAAACCATCTAATCCGAGAAAAACTATGGAACAAAGTAACCGTGTGCCGAAGTGAAGCTGAGCGCCCGCAGGAAGGCCGAGCGTCGGGATCCTCTGTGCTCTCCCCCGAGGACAGCTAACTTCCCTGAGCGCCAGGCGTGGCACCCAGCAGACTGTCCAGAAATGACAGCCTATGGTATATATATATATATTTTATTAGGTCTAGGGCTGTGGCTTAAAACAATTTTGTTAACGAGGAAAATCTCATGCAGAACTGAAAAGGCAGACAAAAAACCCGGCTGCTCTGGGTGAGCCAAGAGTTGGGGTGGGGATGCCCACCCCCATTACTGCACAGAGCTTTCTGGAACACGTGTGAAAATCTCCTGCCTAGACCATGACAGTGTAGCTCGGTGAGGGCGGGAGCCAGGAAACGGCAGTGTGCGCACACGTGTGTTATGTGTGTGAAAGGGAGTGTGTACCGTGTGCAGGTGGCTTCAGCTCCCTGATCCCGGGAATGGGACCCTCAGCAGGAGAGGGGGCATTTGCTTTTCCCAGCTGTTTGCTGTCCTTCGGCTCATCCATGTCAAATTCACATCTGCCCCAAAGGGAAAACCTGACCTTTACGGTGACAAATGCTGGAGGGAACCAGCCCTCCCGGCTGCTGTCTGTGCCTGAGCGGGTCTGCGGTGGCGACTCTTGGATCCCAGGGTGAATAACCAGGTCCAGGGAGGGACCCCGCCCACACGGCACAGGGCAGGCTGGGCCTTCAAGGCCTGCAGGGTACCTCTCCCGGTCCCCTCTGCCAGCAGCACTCAGCATCACGGCCCTCATCAGCCTGCCCTGTGTCAGTGTTTGTCCTGCTGGACCATGAACCCCTGGGGGACGGGGACTGTGTTTCTGGCATCTCTGCATCCTCCCAGCACACAGCTGGTGTTGACCGCACTGAGAACTGGAGACGTACTACTTACAAGCTACCTCCCCTCCTGCCTGCAAGTTTGCTTTTGTTTTTCTGGGTCTTTAGGGCACCCAGTTCCCACGTGCTGATGTGTTCTCTGCAAATAGAAGGCATCTGGAAAACACTTACTAGCAAACGGGGTTTGGGGACGAGCCAAAAAATACATGGTTTTCGTGCATGATATAAAAGCAGAATAAGTCCTCTCTTTGAGAAGGGAATATTTGAAATGAAAAAAAGCACATCCCTCGTTAAAAAGGAAATAAGTTTCACTAAAATTGTGATACAAATCAATGGGACCCCAAAGCACTTTTGTTTATCTAAGCATTGCATCAAAAACCCCTTTCCCTTCTTTCTCCCGATAAGAGAAACTCAAGGAATCAGAATACTTAGGAAGAAAACCCTTTTGGTCAGCTGACAAGCATAAATTGGGCTACTCAGGTTTACCAAATGTTGCAGGAGATCTCTGCTGTTGTGTTATCCACCACTCAATGTAAAGACATAAGGGCGCCCTGTGTCAAACTGTTTCATCGCAGAGCCTGTCTTTACTCATGTCAATTGGAAATGTCTGTATTTGTATCATAATACTTTTAAGACAATGGATAGGGTAGAGATAACACTTATTGTCGATCAGAAATAAACTGAATTCAATGTAAACTTTTTTTTTTTAAGAATTACCTTCCAACCCTCCTATGACTTTTTTTTTTTGCAAAACTTTAAGAAAAACCCAAAGCTGTTTATAATTTTTGAGAAGGTTGGTATAATTCTTGGTTTCCCTTCTGCCTAAATTTACAATATGCCTGAATCAAACGGCAAGTGCTTCTAACAATTTCTAAGACTAAATATAACTTGGAGCCACTCTGGGCAACTAAAATCCAAGTGAGGACAGTGAGAGATCTTCCTGAAATCAACACTCCCTGTGTGGGTCACCAGAACTTCCTGGCAAACAGGGGTGCTTTAAAGCAAAAGGAATTAAACTCTCCAGAAGTGGGATGCTTGATACGTAGTGACTTCCCCGTCACTGGAGGTATGTAAGCAGAAGTCACATGCTCAGGCCCTGGGGAGGGCAAGGAAGGAGCCTGGAGGAACTGTGGACCCCCCCATTCCCACCTCATACAACAACTTCACTTTCACCTGTTTGTGTGTTGGACTTCCATACAGGACTTAGCTTAAAGGAAAAGCACTGTTTGTTTGTTTTTGCGGTACGCGAGCCTCTCACTGCTGTGGCCTCTCCCGTTGCGGAGCACAGGCTCCGGACGTGCAGGCTCAGCGGCCATGGCTCACGGGCCCAGCCGCTCCGCGGCATGTGGGATCTTTCCGGACCGGGGCACGAACCCGTGTCCCCTGCATCAGCGGGCGTACTCTCAACCACTGCGCCACCAGGGAAGCCCGAAAAAGCACTGTTGATAAGAACAAGACTGAGAACCCAGGAGGAAGGGGACATCGCACTGACCACTCACCGTACTGCCTGTGGGGAGCGAACTCGAGCTCCAGGGACGGTTCGCAGAGGCTGTCATCAGAATTATAGCCTGTGGTGAAAATAAGGTGATGATACAGGGGTCCCGGAACATCCACAGGGAAACACGGCGTCCTGTGCCGGACGGCCACCTCTGACTGGCACCTGAGCCATGGCAGCGCCAAGCCCTTGGAGGCGAGGGAGGGACGCGTGGACGTGCCTCTTCCATCCCTCCCCCTACTCCTCCTGCTGGCACGGCCCTCACTCCCGACTCCTCTTAGATTTAACTTCAAATCCCATTTCCGCCTGTGCAGTGACAGGGACTTGAAGACTAAAGCAGTGATCTGGCCAAAGGATTACACAGCAAAAGGAGGCGAGTATTCAGGGCCCTGGGGAGCGCCTCCCAACCTCCAAGCCCAAGCCGTGCCAGTAGTTCTGGTCTGGAGACCACAGTTGTCTTCAGGAGGCGGGAGGAAGGCAGAGGAGAGAATCCAGCACCCGAGGGGAGAGGCTGACTCCCTGGAAACAGCCCTGCCGCCGCAGCTCCTCACCCGAGATAGACCTGGAAGCACAGGCCACCCGTCAACTGCCCTTTCTCTGAGAGGGATTCAGATGCCCTCTGCCTCAAGCCTGCTAACTTCTCTCTGACAGTAGACCCTGGGTCCCACCAAATGGCAAGAGGGTTTCCACCCTGTCCCCAATTCCTATTATAAAAGTTCTGGCAGTGAGATACACCCAAAGTTAGGTATGATGTATACACTACTATACATAAAATAGGTTAACTAATAAGGACCTGCTGTAGAGCACAGGGAACTCTTCTCAATACTTTGTAATGACCTACATGGGAAAAAAAATCTAAAAAAGAGTGGATATATGTCTATGTATAACTGATTCACTTTGCTGTAGAGCAGAAAGGAATACACATCGTAAATCAACTCTACTCCAATAAAAAAATTTTTTAAAAAAAGTTAGGTATGATCTAATTGCTTCCTTTTCAGGTTTTGTCTCCTGGAGATGAGGGAGGGACGATTCCTTTTTTTAACTCATTGAAGGCAGGAGAATCCTACATTTTGAATTCTGCCCTAATGCCCAACTCAAAGTCGTGGCTTAATGAAAACCTGCTGCCTTGATTACTACAGTATAACACGGCTAGTGACATGTAGGCTACTGGTCGTTAAACCTGGCTAATATCAGAATTTTCTGGAAAACTTTTAAAAAATATGGAATCTTATTTAGGAAAAGCATATCTGTATTTGTCCTTTGACCCAGCAATTCTACCTCTAGGAATAAATTCTGGGGACTGGTTGGTTGAATGAACTGTCATACCACCATTTTAATTATTATGCGCCTCTTAAAAAGAATGAGGAAGATCTCCATGATATATGGCTAAACGAAAAAAAAATCAAGGTGCATTATTTTGTTTATTTTTGCAAAAAGAAACACTGGAAGTATAAACAAGGAACCAAAAAAAAAATGGTTATCCATAGGCTGATTCTGGAATGGAATGGAGGGGAAAGGGAGATGTGAGACTCAGAAACCTAAGCATGCCTTCCTGCATAATTTAGCTTTAAATTACATAAGTATTTTATGTATTAAAAAACAGAATTTAAAAAGAAAAAACTCTAACACTGAAAACAGAAACAAATGAACCTTACTGTATATCAAACTGCTAACATAATCACCTAGAGAAAAAAATTCCAGTGAATTTTGAATATAAAACTCTGTGCATCCTTAGTGAGATATAACCACAGAACTAAAAGAACTACCAGAAAACAAACATCACTTAGTAATTTTATTGTTAATAATATAATTTTTTTTACCATTACTGCATATTTTCAGGAAAAGTAAGTAGATTTTTCAAGAGACAAGACTTCTAAGAAAAGGACACACGCATATGAAATTAAAAAATCCCTGTAATATTAAATTAGAATTTGAAAGATTGATATGTCATAATATCTATGTGTCCTTTCTTTACTGAAAGGGTCTAAAAGTAATGACAACTCTGTAGTGTCCAGACCTTGATTATTAAATTCTGCTCTAAAAGGAACTAGATTTACTTGAAGAAATGCTGATTCTAAGGGCAGGGAGTGGGGGCGGGGTGTTCCATTTCGAAGACGGTTACATGTCCACTGGCGACGACTACCCAGAGTGTGAGAACTGGGCTGCCAGAGAATCTCCACGGGCAGTGCTGGGGTTGCAGGGTTGATGGACCCTCATGCACGCTCAGCGGACGTGTGACTGGCCAGTGATGTTTCCAGGCTTGGGCTCTGGTTCAGGGATGGGGGTCCAGACTGAGACAGCCCAGGGTTAGCCTGGAGGGCTGGACCTTGAGCCACACAGACCACTGGTACACTGAGGGGAGATGGTGTTCCCAGCTCTTTCCCAAGACCAGGCAGGGCCTCTGTACCCCAGGGCCCAGGAAACCAGGGGAGACTGATGACTGTGGACAACAGACATCCTTGCCACGCTGGGCTCAGAGCATGCCTGTTCCAGACAGCACATGGCACGGCTCCACTGACATCCAACAGTAAGTGACTATGCCTGCAGTGTCTGGCCAGCAGTGGGGGGAGACTGTCCGGCTGCCCTGTGCCCACCCAACTCACCTTCTCCCCAGCGGGGCTTCCTACTTGTAAGCAACTGGGATGAGGGCAGGGACCCTGTCTTTGCTTTGCTTGTCAAACCAAGGTTGTGAAAGTCTCTGGTTTCAAGAGCCAAGTGGGTGGTATTATCATGAAGAATCACCACCACTGCTTGTTCTCCAATTTCTAACACCCCAGAGGCAATCACTTTCAGTTCCTTCAGCTGTTTTTTTGGATGGTTTCAGATCGCTAAATTATCAGCGGAATGTCTTTTTTGCTTTGAAGCTTCCTGCTTCCTCTCCGTTGGCAACTTTAAATTTCCCAGTGCCTGCTCCATCCACCCGACTGCTCTTTTGGCGGCATCCCATTCTTGTTTCATGGGTGCAATGGCTTGGCTCATCTCTGACTATATTAATGACGGACATCGTAAAGCTTTCATGTCTGTGCTTCTGTTTACTCTGTTGCCTCTCACACTGGTTTTGGTCTCTGGTACTGGAGGCTCTCCTCAGGTATCCGTGGGCCTCACCTGGCCAGATCTGATGGGGACATTCAACTGGGAATTCCTTAAGCTGATCACATGACTGGGAGAATGTTTTAATCTCACATCTAAAGATGTGAACACACATGGCTACTGGCAACCTGGGAGACCTTCAGTTTGTAAAGCCTTCCCTGCAACCTCCTTGTTTTTCATTTGGGAAACGTGCCTTCCCCTTTACTAACCGACCTCCAGTTCAGAGACCCTCTTGTGTATCCTCCGTAGAGAATAAACCTCCAGACTTCTACCAAGTTGGGCTGAGGGAGGCTGCCTGCTTTTCGCCCAAACTTGGGCCTCCCTTCTGGAGCTGCTTGGTACCACCAAGGCCTGCACGGTGGTGGTGAGAGAGGGTCCCGGGGCTTCCCCACCAGTGGCTTGGGATCAGGCCTCTAGAGGGTGAAGCTGTCTGTCCAGAGTCACCCACCCAGCTGGCAGGCAGGGCTGAGGCCTGAACCCGTGTCTGTGTGATGCCAGAGCCAGCCCACAGCTTAAGCACTCTGCTCTCCACCTCTCACCCTGAGACCCCTCCTGGCCCTGAGAGCCTGGGGTCTTTAAGAAGGAACCTGAGCCCCAGATGCTCGGCCCTCTCGTTTCTGGACAAGGTGAGGGGCCCACGACTCACCTTTGGCGCGGCCTGGGTGCCGTGAGATGGGGGTGGAGCTGGAAGGGGTTGTAGTGATGGCTGAGGACGAACAGGGCCGGGGGCCCGGCTCCACGGGCCAGGGCTTCATGGCTGGGTCAGCAGAGGCATCCTTGCGGTCAAGGCTGTCTCTGTGCGGGGACCCTCGCTTTGGCTTTAGGTCCCCAGGACCTGGGGCAGAGAAGGATACTGAGAAACGGGGCTGCAGAATCCTGTGCTCAGGCCGGGCTGCCACACGGAGGCCTAGAAGCAGGGGTGGCAGGGCACACGGACCACAGGTACAAAAGCTGAGCTGCCCACCTCCCGGGCTGTGGCTTAAACAGGAGGGCCCTGGCTACAGGCCTGTGTCGGAGGGCCCACCTCCAATGACGGGCCAAACCGTGAGCCCTGAAATTTTGGCTGGGAGGAAAAAAAGGAAAAACTCAAGAGGACAAACAAAATATTGGTGAAAGTCCAACATACTAACTATAGAGCACACCTGCTGCATAGCACTGTATGTAACTCAAATCCCTGATTTAAAAAGATCCTGCCGACGTCTGCTCAGGATCACTCGGATCTGAGGCTGGGGCCCTGAAGGTCCAGGACACGTAACTTGCCAACTGGCTTCACTTATAATCTGCGAAAAAAATTCACTGTCACCTTAACAATAGGGTAAGAAGCCTTTAATCTCTGTATGGTGAGACTGACTACAAGAAGGATTTTTACCTTGTATCTTATGCTTTTCTGCAGTCTCTAAATTTTCTACCATGAAGACATACTCTTGTCAAAGTTAAATAAAATCCTATATAAAAACATTAAAAAAAAACCCCTCCAACTATCTAGTAATAAGAAAGGGGATGGGCTCTCCAAAAATGAGACAAAACTTAATGCAGTTGGAGTTCCTACTGGCATTAAGACGGGGCTGTTTTACATAATGTCTCACTCTAGGCACCCCCAAGGCTGCAGACATAGAGCCACAACCACTGTGTCGGGATCTCGGCCCCTCTCCAGCCTCTTCCACGGACCTGACTCTGTCTGCTCCTTGGCCACTCCAAGTCTGGACTCACTGTGAAGTTTTAAGTGCCTAAATCTTATGACTTGAAATCAACGTAAAATTTGGATTTTGAAAGATAACCTTGATGAGAAGCAAGACTCAAGTCTGGCGGGATGGACGGGACAGACATCCAACAGGTGAGGTTAAAATGAGGAGCAGAGGGGGAGGCGGAGATGACCACACAGTTAGCATGAACAGCAGAGAAACAGCACCATTCCAGCAGCATGCTTGGAGGACAGGCCTGGAAGGCCAGGACCTCAGCAGCCCAGGGTTCCCAAGGCAGGGTGCGTGAGACAAAGTCACTGCAACATCAGCCGACTTCAGCATTTTAATACGTATTTATTTTTTATAGTTACCTTGTTATTATTATTATTTTTTTTTGCAGTACACGGGCCTCTCACCGCTGGGCCTCTCCTGCCGCGGAGCACAGGCTCCGGACATGCAGGCCCAGCGGCCACGGCCCACGGGCCCAGCCGCTCCGCGGCACGCGGGATCCTCCCGGACCGGGACATGAACCCGTGTCCCCTGCATCGGCAGGCTGACTCTCAACCACTCTGCCACCAGGGAAGCCCTATAGTTACCTTATTTTTATAGTACTGGTTTTCCATTTACAATACAGGTAATAATCTTTCCTTTTAGGATTAATTTAAGTGGAAACGGTGAGTCAATTCAAGGGAAAATATGTAAGTAACCACATAGGTGATGTAAAGATGTGGCCAAAATCATGAAGATGGTACAACAATGACGGCAGACAGAAAAAACGGCAGTAGCTAAAGGCCTCTATCGACCAGCCTTTCCCCCGCTCTGGGTGTGATTGGCGTGATGTTCCTTCTGTCCACTGCTGTTTTAACTTCAGCATCCAAGGTGTCAGAGAACGACAGTACAGTCATAAAACTTCATTCTGGACTGAACTCTGGCTGGGCAACATCGATGCAATTATTCAAAACGCTTGAATGGAGCACAATAAAATCCTTCAAAACATAGAGCACCTCTAAAAAGGACCTTATTGGCAAAAGCCAACAGTTCAGGGCTCTGACAAAGAAAGAGGACAAAAGGGCAGCGGTTTTAAATTTAGATGCTTAAAGGTAAGTCTTAAAAAAGACTCACTTGACAGAGACCGTATATTTTAGGAAGCATAGCGACAACAGACCAGCTCTGCCTTACACGCGGGCGTGACAAAAGCCTGCAGGTGCGAGAGAAGGGGGGCAGCACACGGCCCCTGGACTTACTCAGCACGGCCATCCTGGCCAAAGGACCTGTGCATAGATGTCCCGAGGCTCCCCTACAGCTGTGCTGTACTGGAGAAACGGTGCAGAGGGTGTGACAACTCATCTTCTCTTTTGAACTCAGAATCCACGCTGGCTACTTTAAGTTTGGCTTGGAACTGGGGTCAGGAGGAGGGGTCCGCTATAGGTCATCTGGCCTTTAGGTACTGTTTTTTTGTTTTGTTTTGTTTTCGTTTGTTTGAATTTCAGAAATGAAGAAGGATACACGATGAAGACACATGGTAAAGGAAAAGGATTAGAAATCTCCAATCTCGGAAAAAGGGAGGGGCTCGTTAGGAGAGGATGGGGTTGTCAGAGGAAGACCAGAACTGCAGGTGTTTAGAGAGAGCCGAGAGAGCCGGGTGGGCCCCTGGAGACTTGTCTTTGTCCTTGCTTTTGCTTCTCAAAAAGGAACTCTCTCTGCGCTGAGTTGCTAAATCGTTATCCCCAGGATAACCCGAGAGGAAGGAAAAAAAAAAAAAAAAAAACACAAGAAATAAATGAAGTGAATAATAACAAATGACTCTAAATTAGCTCAACGTACTTAGGAAATCAGTATCCTGTCCGGCCCAGGAAAGATGGAAACAATAGCCACGACAAGACCGGAATCAGGACTCAGTGAGTCACTTATGCTCTGCCTCAATTTAATTAATTTAGCGGCATCTTAGTGCCAACACTTTACTTACTCAGCACGTGAAGAGAATTACGTATCGCTCGAGGAGCCGAAGGGCTTAGACAATTTTTCAATTTCAAAGTGTGAAATTATTAAATAAGAATGGTTATTAATTTAGGAGCCGCGGCTTCTCTTACTCATCCATTTTAATGACTGACTCCCTGACAATCTGGCTCACGTGCTACACAGTACGTTTCTGGCCTGCTGTAATGAAATGGTCTACCTGAAGTATCCACTAATAATTCTTGTATATCTGAAATAACTCTTTTGGCAGGATGAGTTTAAAAATAATGAAAGTACCTCTTTTTCATACCCCAAAGCCCTCAACACCAAGAATTGTTATATGCTTTTAGATCTCTCTAATTCATGACCTTTAAATCACAGAGTCTTATCAGAGCAGACAACTGGTCTAACTTTTTGAACATGTCATACAGAAACAACCAGTATATCCAATTTCTGATTTAGAGTTAAATTTGGTACCAGAACCTCCATTATTTCTTCCTCTGTGGCACCACCTGGTGGCCAGTGCTCACACCACAGGATAAGGGACCGACTTTATGTGATGCTGGGGCCCATGGCTCTGCCGGGGCCCCTGGTTAGGCAGCATGTTGGTTCAGCTTTAACTGCAGGCAGTGCACTTGTTGGTGAAGTTCTGCCACTTACTATATCAGCAGGTGTCTCACCTTGTCAAGCCTCACTTTCTAAGCTCTGAAAAGGGGATGATTCATCATGCCTACCTCACGGGGTAGTTAGGACTAAACCCGAGGCAGATAAAGTAAATTAGCTGACAAGGTGCTGAGCCCAAAGAAAGCACCCAGTGCCTGGCTGCTGTTACGATAATCATCACTGACTTGCTCATTCATGGATGGGCACGAGCATTTCTTTTCCTCTGAAAGTTTTCCTGACTCAATTAGGCTGGTTATAGTTAATTAAGTCAACTTTAGTACAAACTGAGGTGATAAATGTCAAAACATTTAAACAGTCAAAATGCAAACCTGGGGCCACAGATCCCCTCTAGATAAAAACCAATGTTAAGCTTCGTTATCATTTATCTGCACAAGAGCCTTTTACCTCATCTGACCTCCTGTAAAGAACGGGAGTGCAAGCATTAGTCCCCAGACAATGTGTGCGTGAATGCATTTTCTTTTGTGCATTTGAAAGTGACACAGCAGTACCTGAAGTGGTGAATGTGGCCTCCTGAAAGGCTTGTGCACATGTCACGCTCAGAGGGTGGCTTGTCACAGGCCCTTAGTGCTAGAATGTCAGCCACCACCCCCGACAGTGTGTGGGTCTCAGGCATAGGCCTGATCTTCAGAAAGTCCTGGTGTCTTTCATAAAGATTCCAATTATTCAGGCTGCAGTTTTGGCATAAATAATCCATGAAATGATATTTAAAAGTAAATTTGGAAATTTAACCTTGTTTGAAGTAACTGCTGTGCTTAATCGATTCTAAGATGCACATCCCCACCCCCACCGCCCCATCTTAACATCACTGAAATCAGGATGCAGCTTCCACAGTGTCTTAGAGTCACCACTGGGGCCAGATGGAACTGTGACAGAACTGCCACTGCCGTGACCAATATATTTTACTCATATTTTCCTTTTATGTGTGTACACAAAAATCTGTCGAATTAAGTCTTTTAGAAGAGCTCTTCAACAAGAGTACAATAAAAATTCTAAGTGGTAAAGCACTGCATCATTTGATTGCCAGTGTTATATAAAGTAATTGGGCAGTTTATAATTGATAGCCTCTTAGAGTTTGACAGAATAAAGCACATTCAACTAGGAACCCATTTCAGAACCCCTGGCAAACTCCAAATGGCAGCCCTCATGGAAAGGTAAGCCGGGCCCCCTGGCTGGTAAGACTGAAGACCGGGTCAGGCTGGAGAAGAAAACCTGGCTGCCTATCTAAGTGCTAAAAAGACTGGAGTCACACGTGGGCTTGCAAAAGATCGCACATGTGCACGCTGCCTGTTAAATGTGGAGATCTCCCTACAGAAATAGTCTACTCTACAACTCTGACACGCACAAGGAAACCCCCAAACACATGCAACTGAGCTTGCCTCTGGTGCCTGCGTGGTCACCAGCTTTGGTTTGAGTCCCTCCCACCATCTACAGGATTAGCGATGCTTCTCGCTCGACATGGGTTTGTATTTTCTTGGTTATGAACACACCTATGGAGGCAGATAGGCGTGTACACAGCACATCCCCTTCACACTCTTACACACAGAGGCGTGCACAGCCACACGCCGTCTCCCTCTACCCGGTCCAGTGAGAGGGTCCCTTAGACCACCCCCTGCAGCCAGGTCAGCCCGCCTACCTTTTCCCAGGGTCCCTTTGTGGATGTCACGCTCTTCTGCACAGCTTGAGCCCAAGGGGGTGGCCTCGGGGTTCTCCGGCTGGGATCTGAGCAGCTGAGAAGTGGATGGCGAGGTTGGGTCTGGGGACTCCAGCTGCCAGGGAGGACTGTCTGTAGTTGACTTCAATCGTTCTCTGGAACCCTCTTTCTTTGGTTTGATGAGTTTGACTAAAGCTTTGGCTCCAATCCAGTGGTTTTTCCTAGTTAGGAGTAGATTTTTAGGACACAATCAACCCTCACTGCCCCCTCCAGCAGGTTACTGGGTGCCCTAATGTGGGCTGGGATTCCCATCACCAGCCTGGGAAACTGGCCAGTAACCACCACCATGACCACTGTATTTGGGGCTCAGGAGGCAGAACAGAATTCTCGGTCACGCATGCGCTCGGGGATAGTTAGAAGAACGTATCGGGTCAGGAGTTCACACTAGTCTCTTGGGAGAACAGAATGTCGAGTACGCCCATTAACTCTTGATTATCTCTGGGAAGGAAGTCGTGCTCTGCTAATGTGATCTATTAACTCTTGATTATCTCTGGGAAGGAAGGAAGTGCTCTGCTGATGATCTAGTAGATGGCCATTTTTCTGCCAAAATGCCCTTTTCAGTGTCACACTCCTCCTCATCCTCTGCTAAAGTTCACGGTAAGCGTAATAAGCTGGCGTTCCTTGACCACTCCCGGCACCAAGGAATCCGGGTGAGGTGGCAGAGGGCAGGGAAGAGGGCGCCGTGTGAAGTAAAAACAGGCAATTTGATGAGGAAGCGACGAAGCTGCAGCTAACGGGAAATGGAGGCTTCTGCTGTTACAAAAAGAGAACCACAGGGCTTCCCTGGTGGCGCAGTGGTTGGGAGTCTGCCTGCCGATGCAGGGGACATGGGTTCGTGCCCCGGTCCGGGAAGATCACACATGCCGCGGAGCGGCTGGGCCCGTGAGCCATGGCCGCTGAGCCTGCGCGTCCGGAGCCTGTGCTCCGCAACGGGAGAGGCCACGGCAGTGAGAGGCCCGCGTACCGCAAAAAAAAACAACAAAAAAAGAGAGAACCACACCCGAGTTCTACTCCTGCTCTGAACTGAACTGCACTGTGTTTACACAAATCCCTCCGTTTCCTTGTCTGGGCCTCAACTTCTCCATCTGTCAAAGAGAAGGCTGAGACTGAGGTTCTGAAATTCTGTGGTTGTGTGATTTCAACAGAGAGGCCTTGAGGGGTGCACAGCGATCCTGACTTTGAGGCTGGGCTGGGACAGGACCACGTGCCGGGCCGACTCCTGGGGGGAGCGGTGCTGGACAAGGCTGGCAGTCTTGGGGGATGGAGCCAGCCCTGAAACCCACTGCCCTCTGGAGCAGGGGACATGTCTGTGAAGCCGCCCTGGGGTTCAGTGAATCCAGAGGAATCTGTATACGGCCAAAAGGTGCCCCTGTTTGAAGACTGTGAGTGCTGGGCCTGGTGTCCTATCCAAGGTTCCTTCCCTAAACAGAAACATGGTTTTCTACACCCCGTTAAATCCTGAGAAGAGGCCGACAAGGCAACCCTTCCATCCCGCTTTAATGGCTCCCAAACCACTGACTCTGCCCCATTTAAAGGGCTGTGGCTCAATTAAGCCTGTGTCTCGTCAGGGTCAGCTGGCATTTGCCACCCCTCACAGGACAAGCATGAGGATGGGGCTGCAAGAAATTCTAAAATCTTTCTGATGTGCACACGGGTGACCTGTCACTGTGGAAGACACAGGCCCCTACAAAAAGTTTCACCCTGAGTGTGAACAAGGAAGGTTTTCTGTTCTGTGTTCAAGTCCCTGAAACTTAAATCAACTCACTTCTTTGGAGCAGGATCATAGAACTTGTACTGATCCATGATTTTTTCTTCCAGTTTTTCCTTATGTCTTCGTAAGGCATTTAACTTGTCTCTGTGGAGAGAGGGAAAAGACAATCAAGCCAGTTTTAAATAAAACAAACGAACTTACTCACCAGCTCGGCCTGGGACCTGGCCCAGCGGACATCACAGTGCTCACAGTCGCTGAGTTGGGAATATGCGAACGGAAGCATCTGACATAGGTCCAGAAGCCCTAACGCCTTGCAGAGGCCTGCTGAAGCACCCAGGATCTAGCTGTGAGTGAACTCAAGGGAGCAAAGCCAGAACTGTCTGACAACCCAAGCTCGGAAGCAAGGATTCTCTGGCCAGGCCATTCAGGGTGTGGGACACCCCAGGGTCAGACCCGAGGCCAGCTGCTGGCGTGCACATCAACAGTACCTTGGTGGTGGGAGAGGTCTGCCCTTAGGGAGTTGGGTGGGCATCAAGGTTGAAAAAGTCATTTCAGCAAATTCAGACCTCTGACCTGGACCCATTCCAATGCTGGGTTTCTGAGAAAACTTCCATGGGAACAAACTCAGAAGACTTTAGGGTCCAGAGAGAAGATAAGGAACAGAGCGGGCCTGGAAAAACCAGAGGTGTGGTGGGGACGGAGGCACAACTGGGCCACCGCAGCAGATCGCTGCCTGGGGTGGCACGTAGACCTTCCCATTTTTCAGAGCAGCCAGAAACTCAGACTGTGAAGCAGAATCTCCTGACTTGTAAATGCTGGAAACCAGTTTGTATTTTCAAAAACACACAAGAGACCAAAGAGACACCTCTCGAACCCTGGGCTGCCAGAGGGCACCTCTGCTTCCTGGGAGGGAAGTTCTGGCCTTCCTGATACGAAGGGGGTGCTTTCATTTTATCTCAGGGAGTCAGGCAGGTGGACTCCATACAACACTGCCCACAGGGCCACCAACTCCTGTCCCTTCCGGCCTCTCACCACCTGTGCCGTCTTTACAGCTCGGACCCTCGGCTTCCTCACTGGAAAATGAGGCCTCGGGCCAGAGGCAACTTTCTGCTCAGGCTTCTTTCTGTCAAGAAGCTGCCAAGCTTCCACCCAAGCTGGGGGCTTTCCCAGGAGCTCCCCACGAAGCGGGTACATCACGAAAAGTGGCAGCTTTGTGAACCACTGGGCCCCGACCCCCAAGCCCCAACCCCTCGCGGCTCCCAGTCTCCTTGACTCGATGTCTGTGATCTGTTATTGTGTCCTCACGGCCGTGCTGCCCCGCCTTAAGCTCGGAGTGCTTTCGTGGCTGGGTTCGCCCCAGAGATGCGCACAAACTCAGAGAGCAGGTCCCGTGCCCCTCGGCCCCCAGCACAGTGCTCCGCTCAGAGCAGCCTCTGGGAAGCCTGCCAACTCCTGGCCCTCTGCAGACGCTCTCTATTGCACAACTGTCATCCCATCATCCCCCTGGGGTCCGGGCGCCTACTCTTCTAGTGAGCAACCGCCCAGTGTCCGCTGGAAATTATTATCAGCTGGATTACAGAGGGCCAACTTCAGGCAACGGTCATTTCTATCCCCAAATTACAGTGCGGTTTGCAAGGCAAACCATCTCCTGGTAGATGGCGAGCCGCCTCTGACCATGTCCCCCTGCAGCCTGTCTCCTCTTGCCTTCCCTACGCTGGCCGGCCATTCCCACCCGCGAGCAAGGACAGTTCAACCACCACGGCAGAGCGGTGGAAACCCCCTGGACCCACGGATGCGTCCTGGATCGTTTCACTTGCAAACCACAAGGTTCTCAGGGCCAGGCTCTTCCTCTTGACCTCACCTCTGGCAGCTTCCTAGGCCCTGCGAGACCAGCACCCTTTAAACACTTCCCAATGAATCCCGACTCGTTAGCCAGGCGCGGCAGCCTCCTCCGCTGAGTCTCCCGCATGTTCCCTGCACCCAGAGCCCTGCCGTGCTCCACCTTCATGTCCCCCGTCTGCCCTGCCTTCGGCCCATCCTGTGTCAGCAGCAGAACCCCAGCTCTTCTTCCCACTTCTCCGTGAAGCTCCTCAACCTCTGTCTGGTATGCCCACATCCCATCACCCCCACTAGGTCCCTGGTTACCACCGCAGGGGCCACAGCAAAGCCCACATAAACAAACACCGTGGCACACGGGGGACCCACCGCACCAGACGATCAGGGGACACAGCCACAGGCGACAGAAGGAGGTTGGGTGTGGCACCTGTGCTCAGCCTCCGACATGAATTCTTTCCCTGAGATACTTCTCTTGCTAGCACAGCTGTATTTTTAGAAGTGCACTTAATTCCAAAAGCAGACTAAGAAGCTTCTGGCGGTGGGCAGAGCCTTTAAAAAGCAAACGAAAGCCAACCACCACCACTTGCAGAAACCCAGAAACACTCCAGGGAAACAGAGAGAAGGACAGGCTGTTAAGAACAGGCTCCGGGGCTGTTCCTGCCCAGAGCGGGGCAGGTCTTGGCCACAGAAGCCAGGACCCCCGTGTCGACAGGCGTCCCCCACCCGGGCCCCTTACATGTACTGCTTCTGCTCCTCGTGGTACTGTTCCTTGTTCTCCAAGTTCTGTTCTAGAAGCATTTGGTTCTGCTGGCTCAACAGCTGGATCTGGCTCAAGAGGTGATGGTTTTCTTCCTCCAAGTTCCCCTTGAGGCGGGAGAGCAGCTAAAACACAGACCAACAACGTCTTAAATACTGTGTGACCCTGTGAGTCTGCTGCTGGGAATCTAGCTTCCAAAAGAAGGCAAAGGCCACGTGCGCCAAGATGTCCATCTCAGTACTATCTGCACTCGTGACAACTTGAAAGGACCCAAACGGCCTCTTCCCTTGGCAGCTACGCTGTCCAATCCAACAGCCACGGGCAACGCGTGGCCACGGACCACTTAAAGCACAGCTAGCCCACGATGAGGAGAGCCACAAGGGCGGATACAGCGGATCCTAAAGACTTAACTAAAAAAAAAAGATGTGAAAGAGCTCGTTAATGAGCTTTTTGTGGTTACATGTGGAAATGACATTTTAGATATACTGGCTGAACAAAATATATTACTTAGAATTAATCCCACCTGTTTGCTTTCACTTCTTTACTGTGGCTACTAGAAAATTTTAAATTACATCTGGTGGCTACACTATCATTTCTAGCGGCCAGCTCCGTCCTAGACGAGGGTCGGCACACTTCTCCTGTAAAGAGCCAGGTAGCAAATATTTTAGGCTTTCCAGGCCGGACGGTGGTCCCTGTCGCAGCCACTCAACTGTGCTGTTACAGCAGGAAAGCAGTCAGAGACAATATGTAAATGCACAGGTTTTTGACCTGTTCCTGTAAATGACCGCGTTCCAATACAACTTGACTTATGGACACTGACATTTAAGTGTTATACCACTTGCCGCAAAACATTTTTTTTTCACTTTCTCAACCACTGTAAAATGTAAAGGTCATTCTCAGTTCACGGCCGTATGGAAACAGGTTTGGGGGCTGGATTTTAGTTTTGGGCTGAGGACGGCCAACTCTTGTCTAGAATACATTTATCATGGTTGGTGTAGCAGGAAAACGACAAGCTTTGGCTTCAGACAGACTGGGTGGCAATCTCCTACTGCAGGCCCTGGCCTGAGGTCCCCTCGGAAATCCTAAAGCAGGGCCCTGTGAGGCACAGCCTATGATGACGGGGCTCCCTCAGCCAGTGTCTGCCTGTGTCCTGGCCCCCACCTCCTCCACAGGCCCCAGCCCCAGCCCAGAGGAGCCTTTGGGCATCCCAGAACCCTGGCCTCTGCTTCCTCATCTGTGGCGCCCCGTGAGCTCAAAGGAAAAGGCTCCCCAGAGTGTTTTTCAACAAACAAAGGGCGAGAGGAGCTGTGTCCGGGCTCCTGGCTGTCCTGGAGCTGGGACGGGACCCAGCTGCTCTGCCCTGTACCATCCACTTTGCCTGTCTTACTTGTCCCGGGGTCTGCTGCTTAAGAAGGTACTTTCCAACCTAGTGCACCAGAAGGCAGAGCTCTGCCCCTTTTGCAACCAGGGGATTTGTGTGCAAGTTCCATCCCGAGGAGCCAGTCAGCCAAACCCAAGCACGGAAGAAAATCTGTGACCTTCCTGTAGAACAGTGCAGCTGCTACATGCAAGGAAACGGAAAAACCCTGTGGACACAGCCAAGGGGACAGAGATAAAACAGCACTCAGCTGTTTCCGTGCGCCTGCTCTGACCCTTCGCAGAAAGCAAAGGTCAGATGCAAAGGTGTTTTCTAATGCATCCCTACCAGTCGTGGTGCCTGTCCCCCTTTCAAACGCCTCTGGTCTCCTCCCGGCCTCTGTACCACCTTCACAGTCTTGGAGCACAGACGCCAAGAAGGACCCACCGCAACCCCTCTGAGCCCAAGGCTGTCACCCCAGGGGGACCCGTCCCGGTGTCCCGAGACCCCGCCCAGCCCCAGGCTCCACCTCGCAGTGGGTGTCCAGCTTGGTCAGAGAGATGTCCATGCTCTGGTGCTGTTCCTTCAGCTCGTCGAACCGGGCCTGCCAGCGGCTCAGCTCCAGCTGCGAGCTGTTCAGCGAGGTTTTCAGCTCCTTGGTGTGGCTGTGCAGCTCCTCGTGCTCCCCCTTCAGCTGGTGGTGCAGGAAGCTGACCCTGGCGGGGTGGAGAGCCACAGGGCTGAGGCCTGAAGGGTGCTCCCGGGCCCTGTCACAGCTGTGCAACCTTAGACCGAACCACAACCTCCCTGGGCCTCACAATGAGGGAGCTGAACAAAATCAGAGGCTTTCAAACTGGATTCTTCGGGGTTCTATGAAGGTACCCCTGGTGTCCCCACCTTGCACTGGGGGGACGGAACAGGCAGGCTCGGACACCCACTTCAACAGAGCATCACTGTTATGACCTCTTATGTTTTTAGAGCTTTGGCATATCTGCCTACTTGGAAAAAAAGGTTCTGTTGTTAAAAGCTTTCTTTCTGAATACGGAACCAGACATTTTTGCTCTAAAACTCCTTGTCTATGCCCAGCTCTTCTTCTCAATTCCAAGCCCCTTTCTCATTTCAACTCCCGAGATAAAATATGAGATGCTGGGGTATGAGGTAAATCCACAAAGATTAGCACCATCATAATAACTATTATCCAACTGGGCTTTCTCGGGGGAAGATTTGTCACAGAAAGCTCAAAGTACCAGGGGCCCATGGCCTCAGTTTAGACACAGATGTGTCTTGTTTGGCTACAGTGTTTTTTAAATGAATTAGTGGGTCAACATTTAAAATTCTGAAAGTTTCACATCAACATTCCAATGTCCAGCTTCTCTTAAGAGAAAAAGCATAAACCAAGGGATAATCTGGTGGCCCCAGGCCTTCCTCCCAGCTGACAACTGTCAGTGTATATTCTCCGTGTCACTCATGTCCGGTCTACCACTGGCACTCTTCACCCACGTGCCTGACCTGCCTGGCACCGGAGTCTGTAGCCCCTGGTACACATGAACGCAAAGAGGTGGGGAGGAGGCAGTACCCATGGCCATGCCAGAGACAAGACCTGCTTCAAATCCTGACTCTGCCATTGACTACAAGCGTCCACTCTGAACAAGGCATTTAATCTCGGCCTGTTTCTTCGTCTGTTTAAAAAAAAAAAGGATAGTAATTCTGTAGATTCTCGTTACTCTTGGTAGTAACATTCTATAAAGTCCCTGAGACACTAAATTAGCTCTTGGGGGAAACACACAGGTGGGTTCCTGTGAGTCTGGTCACACAATTTTGTCAGCTGATCAAGACATACCTCGTTTTACGTGGTTTCTGTTTAAAGACACCTTATGTGATGTACTCACAGCCAACAGCACTGTAACTCATGCCTGAAGGAAGCTTATCTACCTCACTCACACATATTCTCCGTAATGTACATCACAGCCTTGCACTTAAGAACACGAGACAGCATTCTGCTCGTGGGCCATTTTAAACAGCGAAATCCTCACCCAAAAGCACAAAAACACGAAAACCATGGCACTAAACAGGCCACAGAAAGGACGCTCGTAGGCTTCTTTGGTGGCGCAGTGGTTAAGAGTCCGCCTGCCGATGCAGGGGACACGGGTTCGTGCCCCGGTCCGGGAAGATCCCACGTGCCGCGGAGCGGCTGGGCCCGTGAGCCATGGCCGCTAAGCCTGCGTGTCCGGAGCCTGTGCTCCGCAACGGGAGAGGCCACAACAGTGAGAGGCCCGCGTCCCCCCAAAAAAAAAAAAAAAAAAAAGGATGCTCGTTTGCAGAATGAGCTGCAGGGGTCGAATGCCTTGCTCCTCCTCTGTTGGAAATGTGTGCATCAGGCGACCCCAAATGTCCCGCCACCCAAATGTCCACGATAGCTCCACGAACGCTGATTTGGGGCTTAGAGATCAATGTCAGCAAGGAGGTGAATTCACAAACAGGGAACCCATTAGATGACGAATGTACCCGTGGCTGACGCAACCAATCGGCATCTCAGGGCAGGAGGTGAGGGCTACCAGCTTGGGCGACGCGCTCTCCCTGGGTACCACACTGGCCCTTCCATCCCAGCACCATCCCTTTGACCTCGCTACCATCCAGCTGTTAGCATGACAGGGGCTGTATTGGCAGGCTGACCTCCGCTCAGCGGGAGCAGAGTGAGTCAGCTGCTGCTGCCCGCGGGAAGGTGGGCCCCCTGGGCCCCGGCGTTTACCTGTCCAGCTCCTCCTGCAGCCTCTGGTTCTCGCTCGCGACCGCGGCGCTCGTCCTCTGCTCCTGCCGCAGAGCCTCCCTCTCGGCATTCAAAACCTTCTCCAGCTCATCCAGCTCTGCCCTCCGCTTCAGCATGTCGCCGTGCCTGGGGGAGGGGACACACCGCTGGCAGCCCGTCCCAGGCCTTCTTTGCCCACGGGCGATGGACACCCTGGGAGACCGCGAAGCCTCCACAGAGAAAGCGGGGCTCATCTGGCGGCTTCTCTCTGCAGAGCTGAGGGGGGCGGGCAGGGGGCAAGGCTGCATGGCAGGGAATTGGAGGGAGGTGGCTGGGAGAGGCACCGGGGGTGCGAGCAGCACCTGGGCGGGAAGGCTCGGGGTCCCCTCCAGCCCCAGGGCCAGAGGCCTCGTCCTCCCACCCGACATGCCCCCGCGGCCCCCTCGATTCCCTGTCACAGTAGCCTTCCTCCCTTGGCCCCCGGGGAACGCCAAGACAACGCCCTCTGAACCCCACACCCTCCTCTCAGGGAGTGCAAATGACTTAACAGGGCGTTCACTCAACACAAACTGATCTAGAAGAAACCACGGAATAGACAGCTGAATTCCACTGCACATGACAGCTAATCTCACAGCAAATCCCTGCTCACTGGGGACGGGGTGAGCCCTCCTCTCCCTCGGGAGCCCCTCCTGCTCTTGCCAGACCTCGAGTGGGGGGCAGAGGCTTGCCTGGGGGGCCCAGGCAGCTGCCGGGGGACACGCGCGTGCGCGCGCATGCGCACACACACACACACACACCCCTCCTTCCCGCTCTTTCATTTTCCTCTTTGTATTTTCTCCTCTGTCTCTCTGTGTGGGGTACTGCACAGCTATCTCTGGAGGGCAGCAGAGCACAAGGACAGAGTCCCCGATAAGCCCAGGCTGTTCCTCCCACCTGCTGGAACCTTCCAAGCTCACGATGACTCAAGAGCCCCCAAGTCCAGGGGGCTTCCAGCCTTCGTCTCCAGACCTCTACCCTGACCCCGCCTGTCCCTGCGCAGCTGTACTCACACCATCTGACTGGAACCCAGACTTGTGCTTCTGTGGGAGTCAAGCTCAGAAGCCTGCTCAGGCAGCTGTTCACAGACATCTGTGTGGCCTTTAGCTTCAGAGCAGAGGATCCCCAACGTGGTTCTGGGCATGGGGCTCTGCCTGGCTCTCAGGGGTGACCTTTCGCATCCAGATTAACGATTCTGGGAAAAGTCATCCAAGGTCTGACAACTTAGGGCCTCCGGCTGACCATCAAGGTCCCCGCTTCCCGCTTCCCTGCTGTAACGTCTTGGAAAAGCTCACTGATCAAGCATCTCTCTGACCGTTAGTAAACTACGCCACTGCAGAACAGAACCCGGGCGAGTCTGGCTCACCACCGAGTCCCAGTACGAGGCACAGTGCTCAGGATCTGTTAAGAGAACGAATGAGTGAGTGTCTGATTTAAGTGTCAAACGAAATGAATGTAGAGCCATCATCCCTGTATTCCAGGTACCCAGACTCCTGAACGCATAGCCCTGCCGCAGACAGACCCAAGGGGCCTCCAGCCTCTGTCCAACAAAGTACTGGGTAACACAGTGGTTCTGTGCTGTACTGAGCAAAGAATTACAGGGAAAGCAACAATGAACACTTCCTTCAGAGCCAGTCCAAATTCCACCTGCAAAAACCTTCTCCTGCTGAGCAGACATGAAGGATATCGTGAGGTGTTATTATAACACATGACAGGACACCTGAGTGCCTGGGGAGTGCTGGGCGCCGTGCTAGCTTTAGAGCTGAGCGAACACTTCTCACTCCACATCATTAGTCAACTGGATGCCTCTCCTACCACAGCTAGACACAGCACCCCGTACACAGCAGGTGTTTCCTAAGTGCCGCATGCATCCAGGATGGGTGCAGGAGGAAGCAGAAGATGCTCATTTGGGCTAGCAGCCCCTGAAGGACGGCGATCCGCGTGGATCAAAGGGGTGGAGGACTCCAGACGGAGGCAGAAAGGAAGCACCGGGTGAGAGGATAAATGAACGCCATCACCCCGTGCCCACAGCATCCTCAGATGCCCTCGTGAGGCTCTGCTGGCCCAACAACCCCCCTGGGTCTGTGATGAAACGCCCTGCACTTCAGCTCTACTTAGCATCTTGAGGCCGAGTCAAGGAGAACGCTGGCCGCAGGGCCGCCTCACAAGCACAGGGCAAGGACAATTTCTCTTCCTCACCCACCCAGCCACCCGTGCCAAGTGTTTGAGAGCCTCTCTCTCCTGTATTAGAGCCATGTGCACACCACACCTGCTCCCAGATTCTGGGTCCTGCAGCCCCTGCCCAGCGGCCTGGAACAATCAAGGATCTGCCAGGGCAGGAGCTCAGGTGATGCTGGTTGACTGAATGCACACAAGACCCAGGACCCCCATCTGTCAGAGTGCAAAGCTAAGACTTGTGCATTTCAAGGTATGTAAATTTTACCTACAAAAAAAGAAGAGTGTGGGGCTGGAGAACGGGAAGTAAAGATGAAACGAGGGTGGCAAAACAGTGATAAATACAGAAGCCAGTTGTGGGTATACAGGGGTTTCACTCTACCATTCTGTTTACTTTCTATATACTTAAAATTAGGGCTTCCCTGGTGGTGCGGTGGTTAAGAATCCACCTGCCGATGCAGGGGACGCAGGTTCGTGCCCCGGTCCGGGAAGATCCCACATTCCGTGTAGTGGCTGGGCCCGTGAGCCATGGCCGCTGAGCCTGCGCATCCGGAGCCTGTGCTCCACAATGGGAGAGGCCACAACAGTGAGAGGCCCGCGTACCGCAAAAAAACCCCCAAAAAACGCAGCCCAGACCTTGACAGGCAAGAAAAGAACTGAGAAGCCAGGGCAAGATGTGTCATTGTAAATTGGCAGCTGTAGTGAACTTCCTCCTTATTCTTAGTTTGGAGAGAAAAGGGAGGAGAGAAGAAAATCCTTAGGGGAGCAGGGACCCCACACCAACAACAGGTTTCCCTGAGCCAAGACTGGCCACGACGCCCCTTCTCCACCTGGAGATCCACCGACACTCGGTCTCCAGCTGCACTAACTCCAAATTGCTAAGGGTGACTTTGATTTACCTCCCTTTTGGAGAGTTCTGGTGCCCCGGACAGTGTGAAGCTGCAGGCCAAGAGGAGACCCGAGGGGCACAGAGCAGAGGCGGGGACAGGAACCCAGGGGAGCCGCCCCGCCGGCACATACCTCTCCCCGAGCTCCCTGTGCTCCAGCTCCAGGTTGCGATGCAGTGTTTTCAGGCAGCTGTGCTGGCGGATGAGGGCCTCGTACTCCGCGGACTGCCGCTCGTGGAGTGCGCCCAGGTGCTCGTGGTCCTGCAGCAGGGCCTGGTAGGTGGCCGTCAGCTCTTCCTGCTGCTTCTGCAGGTTCTCGAGCTCGCTCTCCTTGGCTGTCTGCTGGTTCTGGAGCAGTGCGTACTGCGCGGTGAGTGAGGCGCTCTGGGAGCCCAGAGTGGAATTTTCCACCTGCCGAGAGGGAGAGGGGGCTGGAGGCTGACACCGAGATAACAGGGACCATCGGTGCAGGCAAGACGCAGCTGGGACCAAGGACAGTTCTACCAGGACTTAAGGAACTGCTGGAGGCCAGATGGCATCAACAGACTGTCGCGGGGCGCTTCACTCCTGAGCCGCTCTCCGCAGACGGGACCTTTGGGGCAAATAAGGTCCTCTCTCTGAATAATACCATCTTTGAATACTTTTAAAAGCCTATTTTTAAAAGACAGAGCATCACTGAGGACACAAAATACCTGAACAACCTACCTTGACCTTAACCTAACTGACGCTTACAGAACATCCATCCAACGTCCAAAATTATTAGAAATTTAGGAGAAGGGAGCACTTCCGATCTAATTCTGAGGTCAGAATTACCTTCATATCAAGACCAGACAAAGACATGACAACCATAACCAAAAACCCCAACCAAAACAAAACTACAAGCCAACATCCTATTTGCTCGTTTTAACAGAACGAATCCCAACCTCTTTGCCGGTCTCCTATTCATTGTCTCTGACCCACACGTTACATATTTTCAAACACCTTTCTCAGAAACTGCAATAAACGATCATTTACTTTCCCACAATCTATTAATGGTAAATAAAAGCCAACATCCTAAAACGTGTGGTCCAGAACACTCTTGGCTAGATGCTCTCACCAGCCCGGTAGCTACTTCATACCTTACTTCACTCGTAGAGATCAAAAATTCACATTTGCTTCAAAGAGGCTCTGCCAGGTCCTACAGTGAAAAAGTGTGCTTAACTCTGTCGAACCAAACTTATTTGATCCCAGAACCTCTTTTCCAAGTCATTCCTAACAGCATCTCAAGAAACAGATTTTGGGAAACAGACAAGACTGCAAGGGAAAAGCAGGGAAATAAACTTTTTTTTTGCCTGGGCAGCCGTGTTCAGTCACTGAAAACCAACTTCAAAGATCCTGAGGCTAGGAACCTCGGTTTACAATGAGTCTATCAAAAATAAAACAGAACACCGAACTCTCCCATGCTTTGTCTTACTGATTAGGAGTCGTCAGAGTGCTGGGGCCAGTCTCTAGGAGACACAGAGCATCCTCCCCCCGCCAAGAGCTGCCCGGCCATGCCCTCACCTGCAGCTTAGCCGTCTGCGTCTGGAGCGTGGTGTTGTGCTCCTGCAGGAAGGCGCTCTGCTTCTGCAGCGTCAGGATCTGACTGCTGAAGGCCGTGTTCTGGGTCTCCAAGTGCTGCAGCTGTTCCTTGAGCAGCTGCTTCTCAGCCTGCAGAGCCGCGTTCTGGGGAAGGGGGAAGCATGAGACCAGTCAGACCCCGGCTCTGTACCTGCTAAGCAGCTGCAGGGACGGCTGGTTAGCAGGTACAGAGTCGTGGAACCCTTTGGGGGCCAAAGCCAAAATCCACCGGATGAGAGAAGTAACATTTTCCCTCTTGGAAAGACAACAGAATTAAAAAAAAATTTTTTTGTACGTGCTTTCACAAGAGAAGCGAATATACATGATGGAGACGCTGCAAAGAACCTGAGCAAGTGAGTGTGAGGCAAAGGCGAGCTGGAGCTAAACCTGCTGCATCCTTTCTGTCTTCTGTGTTCTCTGTTTTCTGTTGACCACCCCGAGAATGCATGTCTGTGAGCTTCTCGCACAGAACAGGGAGCCAGAGCCTGCCCTAAAGCCTCACCCCGCTCGGGTCACAGTGGGTAGAAGGCGGCGGTTCATGCTCCGTGAGACCGATAAAGGCCGAGCAAGATACGCCACCGACTGGGCCCGGACGCGTGGGGTGTGGTCTTGCGCTCTCCCTGACCAGCATGGGGCTTAGGGTCAGGTCTCTTAAACTCCGTCTCACCTTTCTCATCTGTCAAAGGAAAATAGTCACTATCTACTTCATAAGGCTGTTGGGGGACGTCAAACAAGATCAGGGGTTTAGACGTGCGTGGACAAACTCGCTCTGTAAAGGGCCAGACGGCAAATATTATTTTGGGGTTTGCCGGCCATAGGGTCTCTACCTCAACCAGTGACCCCTGCCGTCGCCGTGGAAAGGCAGTCCCACACGATGTGTAAGCAAAGCGTGTGTCTGTGGGCCAATAAAACCTTATTTATGAAAACAGGGGGCGGACCGTGGTCTGTCGACCCCCAGAAGAGCACCGAAACACAGATCACTGCGGAAACAGTGCTGGTGGAGATGCCCCAGACCCAGTGCAGGAAGCATAGAGTAAGTCCCCGGGGAAAAGGGGGACCTGCCCCTTCAGTCAGAAAGGTTGAAGGGACCTCAAGTGGCAAGGAGCAAACGGGACTTGCCAGGGAACTCAAGAAGAGGCCAACGAGACCTGGATAAATCTCAACAGCTTCTGACACCCCGGGTCCTTCCCGGTAATGGGAGTTCCTGCTCCGTCTGCAGAACTGTCGACAGTGGCCTCTCCCTACTCACGTTGCGCTCCAGCTCGATGGCCCGGTCCTTCACACGGAGCAGCTCCATCGTGGCCTCCTTGGGGCTGGGCCCCCAGCGCTCCTTCCCCGGGTGACCCTCGACCAACGGCCCCACAGGGTGTTTGAAAGAGTTCTGCACCTGCTTCCCCTCTTCTTGGCTCTTCCTGAGGATCTCACACTCCTTCTTCAACTGCGGGTGAGAGAACGGGAAAGCAGACTTGGGGCAGGAAGAGGCCGGGCTCGGGGCCCCGCACCAAACCCACCCCCGTCAGCATGCCCGACCCCTCGCCCGGCACTGGACCCGCCAGACTCCTGCCTTTGCTCTTGAGGGGAGGACCTCCGTCCTGCACGTTGCCCCCTCCCTGCAGAGGTGACTGCCGGGCAACAGCCGGGACCCAGTCCCGACTTTATAGCCACGTGAGCGCAGCCAGACTTCTCCCTCCCGAGCCTCAGGGGTCCACTCCGTCGACACTTGCTCCAGAACACGGGCATCCAGGCCGCCCCTCTGCTACCCAGGTGAGGGGCTGGGAAAGGTGAGGCAGGGACCTCACAGCCAGGACCTACGGCCTGACCCTACGGGGGCTGCTCTTACCACCTGGAGCTCGTTCTGTAGGTGGTGAGTCAGGCTGGCCTTCTCTTCCATCTGTGCTTCTAAGAACACAATCTTTTCTTCTTTCCTGGCTAGTGCTGTTTTGAATGCTGATTCAGTTATGCTCTCCAAAATCTTGTATTTCCTGAAAAATACAAATACACAGTAGTATTCATCTGCCTCTTCTACCCACAAGCTCCCAGTCTCCCAGCTGCCAACACGCCCCTCCCCCACTAAGCCGGTTTCCGCGTCACGCTGCAAGATGTGTCCCAGAAGAACTGCAGGAGTCAAAAACCATCACCTAGAGCTGTTCCCCAGGCTGTTGGCATAGATATGTCTGGGACACCGTCAATGAAACATCACTGCTATAGTTTTCCAGGCGTCGTTTCATGTATTGTTATGGCCATTTTACAGATGGGGAAACAGAGTCTCAGGTTAAGGAATCCATCCAAGACCACAGTGCTAGGTAAGCGGTAAATCTGTGTGGCCTTTTCACCACACCTAAAGGACATCACGTTGGTTACAAGTCCAACAAAAGTCCAAGGTGTTGGATTTCCTTGAAAAGCGAGATGATTTAGGAAAGCACTGCTGGCAAAGGCAGCAAGAGTTAAAATTTAAAAAAATTAAAGGGCTGGTGGAGGGAGAGGGGAACGAACAGGTGGCACACAGATGATTTTTAGGGCAGTGAAAATACCCTGTATGACGCTACAGGGGTGGATACAGGTTATCACATGTTTGTCAAAATCCACAGAACATGCAACACCGAGAATGACCCCGATGTCAACCGTGGACTCTGGGTGATGATGAGGTGTTGGTGGGGGTGTTGATGGTGGGGGAGGGTACGCATCGGGGGCAGGGGCTCTACAGGAAATCTCCGCACCTTCTCCTCACTCTTGTTGTGAAGTTAAAACTGCTCGAAAAAAGCCTAACTAGAAAAAAGTTCAGAAGCCTTTTCATTGGACAAAAGAATCTCCTTCCACTCCCGCCTCGGAATGTCCAGGAAGGAGGCCCTGGATAGAAAGTGCCACGTGACAACAGGCCCTCGGGTGTGAAAAGTAAACTGAGCTCTGGGGGTGGGGCTGGGGCGCAGAGCCTGCAGGGTGCGGGGGCGCTGGGATGCAGGCGTGAGCGGAGAAAGCCTGCAGCCACCCAGGGAGGGGTCCTCACGTGTCACCGTTGCTGCTGTCATCCCGCAGCAGCAGCTCCTTGTGGAGGCCAAGCTTCTCCAGTTCCTGGCTCAGTTCCTCCAGCTCACTGCTCAGCTGCTGGCTCTTCAGCTTCTCCTGCACCAGGTCCTGCGGGGACAGTGAGGACAAGTGTGGGAAAAGAGCCCAGCGGAAACGGCAGGAGGGCCTGGCGCAGGCCAGTCTCAGGGCTGAGTGACCACCTTCTCGAGCCATGGCCAGCTTGGGTGTCTCGAGGGCCAAGCAGGCGGTTCTGTGGGGACGGTGAACTTCAGGGATGCCTCCAAAGGGAACAGATGAGCACACCTTCCCAGCCCCCGGAGTTCAAGATACCAGACCACGTGGCAGCGTGTCCAGGAAGGATCGAACGTGCTCCAAACACATCCAGACAAGTGTCTGAACTACCACTTATGGTGATCTCTGAGGAGCGGGTTTGAATTCTGTGAACGTGATTGCCTTTTCCACGCAGTAATGGATCAATAACTAGTTAGCTCATTGCAGAGAACTCAGAACAAAGTGTAAAGAGGAGAAAGATTTTACTTTAAATACTGGTTTTGATTTACTCTTCAAAAGTGGATGTTGACCTCATTTAGGGGTTCACTTACTCTAGTCCACACCTCTGTAACTCTCCAGTGAGTTATACCGTTTTTTGCCCAGTGTCACAGCTATTTGCACACACGAGGACCCCCTACCATACACACCCCAAGGCCTGGAACAGCAGTGTGACGGAGGGTGGTGCTCGCCAAACATTCCGGGGTCGCTCCCTGGCTGCAGCATGGAAGGGCCAGTGTGTGATCTTCCAGCTGCCTCTCCCCTGCCTCGGGGAATGCCCAAACCCCACGTTGAGATGGTGGAGCCGTGAGATCAAAGCCGCCTGGGATGCTGAGCTCTCCAGAGAGTCACCTGGACTTTCGTGAAAGAGAAACCAGCCTTGGACATGACAAGCCCTGCGATTCTGGGGTCATTCGTTACTGCAGCATAACCTAACTTACACTTACAGAGGCAGGGGCTATGGGTCAGGCTGGTGTCTTGCATCTCTCCCCAACAGTGTACTGATCTGCTCGCATTGACACTCAGTGATCTTTTTTTTAATGTGGAGACCTCTCCGTGGTCACCAAGTTTATTTCTTTTTCTTCCTCGGCACACAGCTGGAACACATGTCCCAACCTCCCTGGCTGTCAGGTGCGGCTATGAGACCATATTCTGCCCCATGAAGTGTGGTCCTTCTCTTCTTCATCTTCCTGCTGCAGGTAGAGGAGCCAGAAGAGGGCTCCACTGTGGGACAGCCGGCCACATTATGGAGGGCACCAGGTGTCTGTGAACAGTCACATGGAACTTCCACACGTGTGGACACTCGGCTTCTGTGATGGGCCACTCAGACGCTGGAGTCGTTTACTAGAGCAGTGACTCACCCTGTGGCGCTGCAGGAAAGCCCGGGTGAGCCACGCAAAAACTACCAGGGAAAAGTAAGACACATATTCACCAAGAAACTGTAAAACAGTCGCACCCTTTCATCCTGTAATTGCACTTCTAGGCATATATCCTAAGAAAATAAATACATTCGTGAAGGTGCGTGTGTGCAAGGATGTCCAGTGTTTTTCTAAAATTAATTAATTAATTTATTTTTGGCTGTGTTGGGTCTTCATTGCTGCACGCGGGCTTTCTCTAGTCGCAGTGAGCAGGGGCTACTCTTCTTTGCGGTGCGTGTGCTTCTCATTGCAGTGGCTTCTCTTGCTGTGGAGCACGGGCTCTAGGCATGTGGGCTCAGTAGTTGTGGCATGCAGGCTCAGTAGTTGTAGCGCACGGGCTTAGCTGCTCCGCGACATGTGGGATCCTCCCAGATCAGGGCTCGAACCCGTGTCCCCTGCATCGGCAGGCGGATTCTTAACCACTGCGCCACCAGGGGAGTCCCAGTGTTATTTAAAATCGTGGGAAAAATCAGAAACAATCTAAATGTCCGGAAAGAAATCACAGTAAGTCCATAAAATCAATACCTCACTGCCATTAGAAATCATGGCTTGAAACCTATTTAACGTAATGAGAAAAGTATAGTAATAGAGAGAAACAGAACAGGGCTAGGATGGAGAAGGTAGGGTATCAAGTGTGTGTATACAGAAATGGACAAGGAAAAAAGAAGAAATAAAATCTGCTGGACTGTTAGCCCTGGTTACCTCTGGGCCCTAAGATCATAACAGGTGATTTCTATTTCTTCTTTATGCTTTTGGGCATCATTCTGTTTAGAAGCAGGGGACAAATGCCAGGGGCCTCTCCCTGTCTCACCTCTATTGCACAAGCACCTGTCGGGCAGCACGGTGACCCTGCCCAACCCCCACCGAAGGGGCCGCCCGCCCCCGTCTCACCTCCCTCAGGGTGGTCAGTGTCCTCGTGTGCATGGTGACCTGCTTGGTGAGGTCCCTGTTGTCCTTCTCCAGCTCCTTCAGCTTGCCGGCTGCTTCCCGGCAGCGGGCCAGCTCCTTGTCCAGCGCGCGGCTCTCCCTCTCGGCAGCGGATAGCTTGGCGGAGCTGTCGTCCAGGACGGCGTCCTTGAGCTCCACCTGCTGCCACAGACGCCGGGCCTCCTTCTCCAGCAGCTTCTTGTCTTTCTCCAGCTGGGCCACCTCCTGCTCCAGCGCCTTCCGGTCCTGGCCGGCCCGCTCCAGCTGCCTGTTGGCGAGCCGGAGAGCCTCCAGGTCGCGCTGCAGGGCCTGGTTCTCGGCCTCCAGCTGCCCCAGCTCCCGCTCCAGGGCCTGCGCCTTCTGGCCGCTGCTGTCCAGGCTCTGCTGCAGCCGCAGGTTCTCGGCGCTCAGGCTCTGGTAGCTGAGCTCCAGGCGCTCCGACTTCTTGCCCAGCGCCTTGAGCAGCTCCACGCTCGTCCTCAGCTCCTGCTTCTCCCGCTCCAGCTCCGCCACCTTGGCGCCCGTGAAGCGCATGGCCTCCACTGTCCTGCGCAGCTCCAGGTTCTCCTTGTCCAGCTGCCTGTTGTCCAGCTCCAGGCTGGCCAGCTGCACCTGCATGTTCTGCAGGGCGTCCAGGGACTTGCGCAGCTGCCGGTTCTCCAGCGCCAGCCCGCGGCTCTCGCGCTCCATGGCGTCCGCCTGCTCGCCCGCCGCCTGCAGGGAGCTCACCCTCTGCGCCAGCCTCCCCTTCTCCTCCTCCAGCCGCCGCAGCTCCCGCTGCAGCTCCTCCACCTGCCCCGCCTTCTCCTGCGCCTGCTCCAGCTCCAGGCTGCTCAGCCGGCCGCTGGCCTCCGTCACCATCCCCTGCAGGGCTTTGCTCTCCTGCTCGAAGTCCTTCGCGCGGGCCTCGCTGCTGACCTGCGACCTCTCCCGCAGCGTCCACACCGTCTGGTTGAGATGGTCCTTTTCTTGTTCAAGGTCCCTGATCTGCGGGAAGACACGACAGGAGTGACAGCGGCTGCTGCACAAATGTATTTCGGTGAGTTGGGGCTAAAGTCTGATTTAATCTGGGGGACTAAAGCATAGGCCCTAAAAGACCACCCCATTGTGAATCCAAAAAA